AATTCGTCGGCTAGAGAGTCTTGGAGCATCTCACAGGCGTGCTGGGTGGCCTTGGTGACCATGTTCTGGCCAGCTGCACTCCCGCAACTGTAGCTACAGAGCACATGCACGTTGGAACCGATTACAGTTGGTTGCATGGCCTGAAGCCGTACGTGTGCACTTGTTTCCTCCGCCCATTGTGAAAAGATTGGTTTCAAAGCCGGTAACTGTTTCGTGAATATAACGGCATGGTCGGGGTTGTCAAAAGTGAATACAGGACCTCGACTCATGCTGTTGCTGAGGATCTCGATGTGAATTCCTCCAGAAGCGTTGAATGCTTTGCATCCTCTGGAACAGCTGGCAACGAGTGTCCCTTCGTAAGTGGCGAGTGGAGCGTAGACTTTGCCCGGCGAAACTGATCCAGCCACCTGCAAAGGGCCTGCGACGGCTAGAGGAATCTGGCAGAAGCCAACGCAATTCTCGACGCATACCTTGCCGTGATATTCCTTTTGCAAATTTCCAGCATTTTCGAACGCAAGCGCCCAAGAACGCAAGAGCTCAGGTTTGTTAGCTGGTATATCAGAGCTCATGATCGAAGGTTCCCTTATGCTGTTCGGATGGCTGGAGGGGCTCTGTAGACATGTACACCACGGACCCTTGGCGCAAAGTATGGTCGATGTTACAGGTGTGCAGGTCCGTCATCCATATGATAGCAATTCCGATGATTTAAATTCAACAAACATGTGGAAACCAATGATTTACTTTCTAGCGCTATATTGCAATCGTACCCTAGAAATGATGTCCGAGTTGCCGTAGCTTTAGCTGACGCATGACAACAAACATTGACGTACTTTTCACACTATCTATTCACATCCCTACATGACAGACTACGTTAGAGGTGGTAGGTATTCAGGCCGCCAGCCTCGTGCGCGGACGGGGGTCTAAGATACCATTGCCAAACTCTGTCACAGTATTGAACACTCCCAGCTTCCTCTTTTACAACATTATCGCAAACTGATTGGGGCCCCGCACCACAGGAACGACGACACTTCAAACGCTGTATACATAGACAGCAGTCCTCAAAGGTCATGCGTAATGACCTTGAAGAAAGTAGTGATGAGTGTGACGAATCTGACCTGCACAGTCAGGCCAAGCACCGTTTTACTTTGCGCTACTGAGACATACCGAAATGGTAAAACCTCTGAGTGGCAGATTTCAGCCGAACAAAGTATGAATATTCCAATCTGGATCAATGGACCGAATACACGTAATATCTGACAGCAAAGAGGACGATATTGCGAAGAGGATGGTGCAAATGTACAACACTGTACAAATAATACCTAGCAAACACTTTAAAAAGCTGGTTCAGAAGTAGAGAACTAAATAGGCAAGTCCGAGTGGGGCGGCTATGTGCCATATTTTTAGTAGCCAATCATCGCTGCTGCTCGACATACCTATGTATGTGGATGTGGTAAAGTCGGACTGACCCCCTTGACTTGAACCGGACCGTGCTCCTGCTAAAGTGGAGCACAGTCCGGGTTTTGAATTCTCCGACCCGCCTTTTCGACGCTAGCAGGGGCACGGTCCGAGTCAAGTCAAGGGGGTCAGTCCGACTTTATCATAACCACGCTATGTAGGTATGTAGGTGTCATTGCAAGAGAAAATGTCAGTGGGAAAGCCGCAATTATTCTTATGTGGCAAATGTGCAATAAATATGCTTCATGCGATTTACCAAGGATTATGCCATAGCCTACAGGCAGGCTTGCCTACTGCAAATTTTCTTATGGCTTTTACGCAGATCCATTTGGTCTGGTGTCCAGGGTAGTCTGGAGTCTTACCGGCGTGGTTGTTAAAGTGTAAGTTATAGGAAAATGAACCGAGGGCGTTGTCAGAAAATAGATACTTTTTATTCAACTACCGTACCTCCTCTGCTGTCATAACATTCATAATTTCTGGAGCTCTCTTTCGTCTTGCCGGTAGGACGTGTTTTATGATCCCATGCTTCCTTCTTAGCCTTCCTAGCTTCATTACTAAGCCCTGGACAGATATAGGCTTCCATCGAAACTCGAACTCCTCTTGAATTTGTTTCCATTGGGTTTTCATTAATCGCTTCCGAATGATGAATTGTTCTTGTTCTGATAAGAAATTCAAGTCACTTATAGATACTGAAAAATTCTGACCAGCAGTCAAGCGAGACAGCGCAACTCGACTCTCCACTTCTGGGTTTTCTGGTGGCTGTATCTCTGGCAGTCGTCGACTGTAGCCATAATAACTAGTAGATTGTCGAGAGTCAACAGTTGAGTGACCGGCGTGCCAGGAGCTCAGTGAATCTAAGGCTGACCATGGGTTGGTGTATAGGTGAGCGGGAACAAAGCTCACGGGCGGGAGCCAAAGATCTGAGCTCGAGGAGCCGTGGTGAAGTGCATCCGGCCTCCGGTTTGGTAAAGACTCGATAGAGGGTAAAGCCCTCAAGGGAGGAGGTGAGACTGACATGGATAGTTCGGTGGTACAGAGCTCTCGGTATGAAGGGAGCTGTTGCTGATGGCGAGTTCGATACGATGGGTTTAAAGACATGTCAATTAGGATATACGAACGGAGGCAGAATGCTAGCAGCAATGGGTAATAAAGATAACTATCAAACACAACTGAGAAAGAATTCATCGCTGGCTCTTCACTTCAGGTTATATGCCCGGTCACCGATCGTTGTTTCTGGTTGAGGGCCAACGTGATACATTC